TTTAAATAGATCAACATTAACATTTTAAATAAAATAAATATAATTATATAATTATAAAGTAGAAAATATTAACCAAATTAAAAGGAAAAAAAAAAGAGAAAAGCACAATACACATAATATTATTATAGTATTTATTACATTAAAATTAATATAGTAAATAAAATAAACATAATTACGACAATGCAAAATATGCAAAATAAAATAAAATAATGATAGTGACATAAATTAACAAATAACACAATAATTGAAATAACAAATAAATAATAAAACTTATAAATAAATGTAAAGCATTGAAAGAAAAAAAAAAAGAAAAAGAAAAAAAGAAATTCATATTCGGACAGGTAGGGGTCCGAAAATAATGAAATAAAATAAAACTTAATGATAGTGACATAAACTAATAAATAACATAATAATTGAATTAATTAATAAAGAATAAAACTTATAAATAAATATAAAACATTCAAAAAATACAAAAGAATTCATATTCAGACCACTATTGGTCTGAATAACTTTTCCAGATCGCTAGTGGTCTTGAAATAATTAATAAACAAACAAGACAATACAAGTAAAACAATTATATTATTTAATTAGTATGTAATTAAAGTTTTTAATAGATCAACATTTGTATTTTAAATAAAATAAATATAATTATTTAATTATAAAGTAAATATATCAACCAAATTATGTAAAAAAAAAAAAGCACAATACATATAATATAATTATAGCATTTAATAAATTAAGATTAACATAGTAAATAAAATCTAGTGTCATCTTGCGGATCTAAATGAATGAATCTTGAGTTTTGGGACTTAAATGCTAATTTCACAAAATTTTGAGGACCAGATATGCAATTTTACCATTAAAGAAATTACGAAAGAGCCAAAGAGGACAGAAACCCGACAAGGACGGGATGTCCACACATAATTTGGCGTCGACACCATATGGCAAGCAACCAAAATCAAAGTTTTTGTTTCCTGTTTTATGTCGATAGAGTGTAACAACTTGAAGATGATCTTGTATTAATATATCACGAAGGGTTGTTCGGTTCTTATAAATTTATGCCTTTTAAGTTGGGATGTTTATGGGTTTAGGTATTCTTTGTACTCCACTTTTTAATAAATGTTACTTTTTGCTATTCAAAAAAATATAGTAAATAAAATAAGCATAATGATAGTGACATAAATCAACAAATAGCATAATAATTAAAATAATAAATAAAGAATAAAACTCATAAATAAATATAAAGCATTGAAAAAAAAAAAAGAATTCATATTCAGACCACTATTGGTTTGAATAACTTTTTCGGACCGATAGTGGTCTGAAAATAATTAGGAAAAAAAAGACAATACAAGTATAATAATTATATTATTTAATTAGTATGTAATTAAAGTTTTTAATAGATCAATATTAACATTTTAAATGAAATAAATATACTTATATAATTATAAATTAGAAAATA